GAGAGAGAGAGAGAGAGAGAGAGAGAGAGAGAGAGAGAGAGAGAGAGAGAGAGAGAGAGAGAGAGAGAGGAAGCTCTTACCTAGGTGCACACGCGCTAACGGGGGAAGGATTGTTGTAATTATCGATCTTGAATGGACAGTGCCTTGTTAGAGTGAGTTATCAGGCTCCTGCTAATTGCATCCCTGCCTTTTCTACTCACCGTTCGTCGCTCCTATAAATTGATTGGCCTGGTGAAGAGTCGGGGTTGTGGTGATCGTGGCGGTAACCACTGAGGGTGTTGTGAGAAGTTCATCGGACTTCGCCATTTAGAGGGAAGAAAAGTGAACTGCGCGGTAGGAAAGAGAAGATAGCGCAAGAAAGAGGAGGAAGAAAAAAAGAAGAAGACGGAGAGGAAAAAAGGCGGAAGAAGAAGAAGAAGAAGAAGAAGAAGGAAGGAAGAAGAGAGAGCATGAGGAGAAGGTACACTGTTGTGTGTGGGTTGGGGATCGAGGTTGCGAGTGATACGAGAGACATACCTGGTGCTTGAGGTGAACGACATTGATCGATATCTGCTCGTACTTCAGGGAGCTGTTGACGTCATTGGCGGCATTGTAGATAGGCTAGATAGGATCTACCATTTGTAGTCTGGGTGTCGAGCGCCAGATAGAATATCAAACATTGGTTATTCGTTGATGATGATGATGAGACTATTCCAGCATTGTCAATTATGAGTTTTTTGTGTGCTCTTATTTGATGGAACTGTGATACAATTCTGCTTTTGGTTCGAGGTCACGGCTATTTGGTCTCATGTGTATGATGCTGCTTGGTTTCTGAAATTCTCTATCGTTTGTTTTCTTTGCATTATTATTATTATTATTATTATTATTATTATTATTATTATTATTATTATTATTATAGTTACTATTATTATTATTATTATTATTATTATTATTATTATTTTGTTATTATTACTATCATTACTATGATGTTTTAGTCCTAGTTATAATATGTAGTAGTTAAAGTGTTAGAGGAAAGACAAATGATCTGATGGTTTTAAGGGAAGGAGGCGAGAATGGGGTTATCAAGGTTTGATTGAGGATGATGAGATACGTACCTGGTGCATGAATAGAGGTCGACTATGGTGTTGACAGTCATGTACATTGGTCTTCATGAGTTGAAGTGAGCCTGTTGCGTGACTACATCTGTAGGTGGGATACTGAGATAGAGTGGGTTGGACACCGGATTGAGAGGAGCAATTTTGGATATTGTGTTGGTGCGGCCCACGGGCTTGAACTTTGGCCCATTACTTCATTGTATTGCTCTATATGGATGGTTTCTTGGTGCATTTGTACTCTCGGTATGGACACGACTACTTGGACATCTGGGTGATTTCGCAACTTGGTTTTCTGCACACTTATATTCCCTGCATTATTATTATTATTATTATTATTATTATTATTATTATTGTTAATATTATTATTATTATTATTATTTTATTATTATTATTATTATTATTATTATTATTATTATTATTATTATTACCGACGGTTATTTCTCGTTGTTGATACCTTTTGCAACCCCGCTGTATCTCAATTATGGGCAGACCGGCTATGAGTAGTGATACCGTACCGAGCATTGGGAGAGATGAAAAAGAAAGAAAAGAAGAAAGGCGACGGGGGGGGGAAGAAGATGGAGAAGAAGAAGAAGAGGGAGAAGAAATAGAGGAAGAAGGAGAAGGAAAAACAGAGAGAGAGAAAGAAAACAGACAGACAAACCCGAACAAACAAACAGACGACCAGACGTAGACAACCAAACATACAACCAGACACAAACAAATGGACATAAACGAACATTTATGAAAGACCGAACAGACAAACAAGACGCTGACGGTCAGACCAACAGATAGAGACAGATGAGACAGACAATCATACATACAAACAAACAGACACAGGCAAACAGACGTACAGGCAGACAGACAGACATCGACAAATAGACGGACAAACAGACGGATAAACAAACACTTACAGATAGACAGACGGATAGACAGACGGACAGACAGACAAGTGAGAGAGAGAGAGGGAAGGATGATCCATGTGACCCCGTCTGGAGCGGAGGAGAGCCTACTCACGCTGAAACGCGAGCTGAGAAGGCAGGATTATCCGTGTGACCTATTTGATCGCACTCTCTGGAAGTTTGTAGGTAGGCGGGCCCCGGATTGGGCGGAGATAGCTAGAAAGGTAACCTGGGAAATGTTGTAGTTTTGTCGGTCCCTAAGATAGGCCGAAGGGTCGGGGTCGAATCGTTGGCTCTGTAAACGGGGTAGCAGTGTCTGTAGGGGTATAGTGAGCTGTTTGAGTTGTTGGTCTGGTCCGTTTTTTAGGATTTTCGTTGTTGGTCTACGGTTTTTTTCGAATTGTTTGTGTTTTTTCTTTCAGGCCGCCCAGACTATTAATGGTTGACGGTTTGTTTAGGTAGGTCCTTCATTTCGAAACGCCCCCCTGATGAGGCTGGATCTGGCTCCAACCGAAACGCGTCGGGGAATAGTCAGATGCGTAGACGAAAGTCTCGCATGCTGTGCCTGAGTTGATTGTCATTTTCTATGCACATTTCGCATCTCGTTTTTGAATTGAACATCTATCCGTGTTTGCCTTTGGTAAACGACTCCGCTGCATGTTGTTGTTTGTCCACGTCATGCATCGACTATAATCAGCTTCTAGCGAGCATTGCAACCAGCCGAGGGATGTTTACTTGGAGATTGGTGGCAGTGGGTTACACGACAGCGAAGTGATGTTATCTTCAGGCAAAGTTTCGAAGCAACCTGAATAGTCTGCAAAGAGTGCAGCGCTACGAGTAACGAGACGAGTGAGATATCGGACGAAGAGCGTGTGAACGGGAGTTGAATGCTACCGAAGATGGGGAGTAGAAGATATGACTCCAGGGGATGGGATAGGTATGGCAGCCGTGATATGAGTGGTTGGGAGAGCGGCGGGGATGAGAGGCGTGATCGAGGTAGGGAGGAGAGTCGAGAAAGAAGACCGAGTGACAGGAGAGGCGGCTCTGCGGACAACTTTGATAGGAGAGGATATGATGAAGGGGGAGTGAGGCAGGTAAGATGCTACGAATCCAACGAGATGGGCCACTACAAAAGCCAATGTCCGAGATTGCAAGGACGATTCAGGAGCGGAGGGCAAGGAGGAACGGTGGCGTTAAGTAAAGAGCTTAAAGATTCGCTGAGTGCAGTGGGGATGATGGCGAAGCACCTGCTGGACAAGCAAAAGGAGGCCGAAGAAGCTAAGAGGGAAGCGGAGGAGAAGAGAAAGAGGGAAGAAGAGGAAAAAGCAGCAAAAGAGGAGGCAACGAGGGTTGAGATGGCAAAAAAGAAGGCAAAGGAGGAGAAGGAGCAGAAAAGGAAATGGGAGTTGAAGAAGTTGCTGGCGGAGCAACGCGAAGAATACGAAGCAAAACTGGAAAAGATTGTTCGAAGAGGTATAAGAGGGGTTACGATTAGGAAGAAGGAAACGGCCGTAGCCGCGCAAACACCGTCCTGCTCCGAAGACGAAGAAGATGAAGTTGAGGGAACACCCATGCCGGATAAGCGGAAGAGAAGGGACTCTACGGGTGAGGTTGAGAACAGTCCCCCGGTGGTGACGCCACTGAAGCTTGGGAAGAAGGAAGAGTTGAGTACACCATCGACTAAGAAGAAGGGTAGGGGCAGACCTACCAAAGCTGAGGCACAGGCGGGCAGGATGGCTCGCGGAGAAGATCCAGGGGAAGGTGTTCCAATGGGAGAAAAGTTCCCAAGTGAATCTGCCTACAGGAAGGCCGTTCGGAAAGCGCTGGGATCGTTCTACCCGGAAACACTCCAGCTCATGTGCAAAGGGGCATGAGTGTCATTCTACGGAGTCAATGACGCCGTTGACATATTGGCTGAGCTCCGCATCACCTTTTGTTTCAGAGGAAATGCAGCACCGAGTTCGACGTCGAGCAAGATTGACGAGATTCAGATAAGGGGCGAACCAAAAGAAAATCCAGGTGAGCCCGACGTGTAATTCGGAGAGTTGGAAGCTTTTACTGGAATTTCTGGAATGTCGTAAGTGGTGTCAGCTGAATCGGAATGCTAAGGAGCTTTGACCGCTGGTTGAGGGTATCCTTAGAAATGTGATTCTATTGCTCATCCTTGAGAATGAGGTGAGTTGGGGGAGGAAATTTGTAGAGTGCTGTTGGGAGATTTTTAAAAAAGAGAGAAGAAAGGTGGGATGTCCCGAGTTCGTGCGTTTATGCTCTAATCAATCCATGGTGCAAATTGTTGTATATAGGAAAACTAGAGCGTACGCTAAGTGAGAGATGGACCGAACATGTGGGAAGGACGTTGGGCGAGGAGCGGGGGAAGAATAGACTGTATTCATGGTTACGGAAGTGGGGATGGGAATCGTACATCGCCATCCCGATTGCGTTGGCAGGGAAGAAGGATTTTGAGGGGTTGGAGGGAAGACTAATTAAACGCTGGTGTACTGCGTTAAATACGAATGGATGGAGGGACGGAGGAATAGGAATGTCTTGAAGAAGAAAAGGAGGAAAGGGAGAAGGAAATAGAAGAAGAAGCGGACGAAGTTCTTTGAAGACGAGAAGGTTTTGAGGTTTGCTACGAAAAGATTGACCGGAGTAGTTAAGCTGACGAAAGCGATCGCTGATGTTAAAGGGAAGAAAGGGCGAACCGTAGTATCGAGTGGAGGAAGAATCTGGGCGGAGGATTGGGGTGTCATTAGAAGGAGGTTCGGGGAATCTGATTTAGTGATTGGTGAAGAGCAAACGAAGTTGAGGAAGGCTAAATCTCGCTTTGAGAGTGGTTGCTCTATTCGGTTCTTACGAGTAAGGGAGAGGAAACCGGGCGACCCCAAAGTAAAGCAGCATCTGGATCAACTGCTGAAATGTCCTTGGAAGAGGAGGAAGCTTGATGTGCTCGGGTTGGAGGAGCTTGCGGTTCTTTTTCGGAATGTTAACACCTTTTCAAGGAAGTCGACGAGGAAAACGCTAAAGGCTGTAATCGATGGCGTTGTCAGAAAGAAGTTTAACGTGTCATTTAGAAGAAGGGTGGTGGTGAGAGTGAAATACGATGAGAGGATATTAAGGGTTGAGATTAGGAAGATTGTGATAGGTAAGATAGAGCAAGGTTGTCGTTCAGAAACTGAAGCGAGGATACGGTGTTAGAAGCTCCGTCCAGTCTGGCGAAAAAATTAGACGGTCGGAGACCTTTTTCATAACCACCGATGTGTAAGTCGTCAGTTGGTTTCAGACTGCTGTTGCGCAGACTTTGATCTCCCCCGACAGGGGGAACACGTATCCTTCCGCCTAAGTTCCCGGACTGACGTGGACCATAGGCTGCTGAACTCGAAGAACGTGGTGCAGGGGTGTGATAGCCGGGAGGATGATTGAAAGTTGTGCCGGGAGATGAATGATGAGATGATGAAGAACGGGATTGATTCGCTTTGGACGATTCAAGAAGCCAGAAGCTGTATGAGGGAGAGGCAGGATAGGAAGGATGACCTACTTGATGCTATCGAGGAAGTGAAGGGCAGGCTGAACGGCTTGGTGTTCTGTCCTTTGGACAAGAACATGGCTGAAACTCTGGTCGTATGTCCAGCAATTTACGAATCTGGGATGAGAGAGAGTTTTTGGGGAAATGAGGCATTCGAGGCCGTTTGGGGAGAGGAGGAGGAGGTGATGGCGAGGGCAAAGGGCGATTACGAGAAAAGAGGGCTCAAGAAGATCGGCAAACGGAATGGAAAAGGATCATGGGGCAAGGCGTAAGTTTTGCCCAAGCACAAGGATGCAACGAAAGCACGACCGATCTCGCCGCCGTTCAGTGAACCCACCAAGGTGGCGAACCAATGCGTTGCCATGGCCTTGAACTTCCTCCTTAATTCGTTACCAATTAACGATCATTTTAATCCGAACTCCACAAATTTGTTGAAGAGTAGACTCGAAGGGGTGAACAAATGGGCGAAGAAGAAAGGCCAAGGTGAGATCGTAGGGGTAACTTACAAACATTAAGGAAATGTTTAGTAAGCTGCCCCACGACACAGTGAAGCAAGTGGTGAGATAAATTCTTTCCTTTTTTGCAAACAAAGAGTGAGAATTTGTGCTAGTTAGGACCAGAGGGAAGGGCGCCTCATTCGGAAGTAAGAAAGGAGAAGAAGGGTGGTTGAGGATTGACTTCACATTAATCCAAAAAATGGTAGAACATGATTTGGAGAATACCTTTTTGTGGGCATCTGGCCGGTTGATCAAGCAAAAGGAGGGCATCCCGATGGGGAAATCGAGTAGCCCCTCTATTGCGTGTATTTTGTGCGCGTACTTTGAGTATACCTTTTTGAAGAGTTTGGGAAAAATTGCTGGGTTGGTCAAAGGGATTAGGTTAGTTGATGACGTTTCTCTTTTTGTGTAGAAAGGTTGGGGAGAGAGGAAAAGCAGGAAAGCGGGGGAGATTGTAAGGAAGTTTGAAGAAGCCTACGACCCAAAGCTCACTCTCAAAAGGACTGATGGAGGTACGAATGAGTGGGGTTTTTTGGGTCGTAAGGTGAAGATTGAGGGGAGAAGAGTGGTATGATGGTACCTATCAAAGAATTTTTATGAGATCTGGAGCAACGAGGGCCAATTTTGCTACATAAATTTTCAGGACTTCTGCTCTTACACCAGTATGAGGCAGAAGAGGTCTTTGGTGAACGGAATGATCCATAAGATAAGGGGATGTTCTATGACCCTGTCTGGAGCGGAGGAGAGCCTGCTCACGCTGAAATGCGAGCTGAGAAAGCAGGATTATCCGTGTGACCTGTTTGATCGCACTCTCTGGAAGTTTGTAGGTAGGCGTACCCCGGATTGGGCGGAGATAGCTAGAAAGGTAACCTGGGAAATTCTGTAGTTTTGTCGGTCCCTGAGATAGGCCGAAGGACCGGGGTCGAATCGTTGGCTCTGTAAACGGGGTAGCAGTGTCTGTAGGGGTACAATGAGCTGTTTGACTTGTTGGTCTGATCCGTTTTTTAGGATTTTCGATGTTGGTCTACGATCTTTTTCGAATTGTTTTTGGTTTTTCTTTTAGGCCGCCCAGACTATAAATGGTTGGCGGTCTGTTTAGGTAGGTCCTTCAGTTCGAAACGCCCCCCTGATGAGGCTGGATCTGGCTCCAGCCGAAACGCGTCGGGGAATAGCCAGATGCGTAGACGAAAGTCTCGCATGCTGTGCCTGAGTTGATCGTCATTTTCTATGCACGTTTCGCGTCTCGTTTTTGAATTGAACATCTATCTGTGTTTGCCTTTGGTAAACGACTCCGCTGCATGTTGTTGTTTGTCCACGTCATGCATCGACTATAATCAGCTAAGAGAGAGAGAGAGAAGGATGGCGATGATGATGTAAGGGCACATACCGGGTATTGGAAATGGTTTGTGGTTGAGCAACATCTGGAAGTACGTGATGGGATGCTGACGGCAATAGTTGCATTGCCAATTAGTAGGCAGACTGTAGCTATGTAGGAAGTAGGTTGGACGCTGAGCGCCAAGTAGGGAGAAAGCATTGGACTGTTGTGTTGCTGGCGGTGAGAGCAAGCTGTCGTTGACATTGGTTTTCAGTGTTACAGTTCTCCATTGGTGTTATATTGCTGCAATGCTGCTTTCTGGACACCTTGATACTTTCTGGTTTTCAATGAGATCGTGCATTCTGGTTATTGTCATCTCACTTCTGCTTATTTTTCTTGCATTATTATTATATTTATCATTATTATTATTATTACTATTATTATTATTATTATTATTATTATTATTATTATTATTATTATTATTACTACTATTATTATTATTATTATTATTATTATTATTATTATTGTAATGAACTTAGACCGAAAAATACTCATCAGACGCTGTAGGTGCAAGTAGATTTAGACCTGCACAATGTCTCCGGTAACCGTGAAAGTAGTATCTGATACAGTGATCTGATACCAGTAGACGACGAGAACAAAGGGGAAACAGACAAATGAGAAGGTGGGAGAAATGATCGAAGGATAGCCCGACTTGACCCACTCTTTCTCCGGGCTTCCCCTCGCCTCCACGTCGTCGAAAAGTACCAGGTAATGAGTCTGATAAGTCTGGTCACACAGGAAATACCACAACTGCGATGTAGATAAGTGGCATACGCCACATCAGCAAACGTAGACAGGTGGCATGTGCCACATCAGCCATGTCTGGCGCTCAGCAGAAAAGGCGCCAGCATGCTGCCACAGTCCGGCGTCGTCCACAGCACCGGCGCACAGCTAGCGTCCAACCAGCGTTGAGCCAACATCAAGGGAACAGAACAAGACTGAACGTTGACCACCCGGAGGCCCAGCCTTATGCAGCAATTGACAAGGATGACTGGTCCCGAGTCCCCTACCCACAGTCATACAGTTTGACTCACTGCTAAGGGCCTGGACTGTGTACAGTGCGGCTTCTGCTTGGTTCTAATACTGTCCGGGTACCTGCATACAAACAGATAAAGGGGCGCAAACCGACAGACCAATAACCATACAAACAAACAGACGAACAGACCGACAGGCAGCAACAAACAGACAAACAAACACCGACAAACGAACTGACAAGGGCAAAAATGAACAGACATATACAGACACGCAGACGGACACAAACTGGAAGACGAACAAACAAACAGACAAGGACCGACACAGACGGAAAACATGCATACAAACAGATAGTCAGACAAACTGTTTTGTCACATCTCGACAGACTGTCTGTGCGTGTGCAGACCGGGTCTGCGTGCGAACAGACTGTCTGTATGAGAACAGACTGTGTGTGCGTGCACACCCCGTGTCTGCGTACGAACAGGCAGTCCATTTGAAGACAGATTCCCTGTGTGTATGCAGACCGTGTCTGCATATGAACAGACTGTCAGAATGAGAATAGGTTGTCTGCATGTGTGCAAACCGTGTTTGCATGT